GTATTTCCCCCACAGACCACCAGGGCGGCCGAGAATACCTTTGTTCAACCTGAAATGACTCATTTAATCATCCAAAACGTTATGGAACACATTAACTGAAAAATGTTGCATAGTGTGCCTTTAAGTACAGTAAAAAAGTATTTGTAGTTTATTACTTGACACCTCTGAGTTTTAATAAGTGTCACAATCATTCTCTTTGTGTAGGACTGACCACAGGTTCTTAGCAGGATTAAAATCTCTAAATTTCAGAGGCGTTTATTTCCTTGGATTTGAAAGCTGCTCTTGGTCGATGAGTTGAAACCATTACCTACTCATGGCGCCGTCTTTTCTTAAAGGAATGAAAATTATAAGGTGGTGGCTTGGTCCTCTGCACTCAAATTTTCAGTTTTAACAGTGGATTCTCTGCTAGTTTTATGTACCAAACCAGCTTCCAATGGTCTCAGCTTCACTATAATTTATAAACAAACTCACACCTTCCTCCTGCCAGTTTGAGCTCTGTACCGGTGGCAGTCGCCCTTGGCTAAATGCTTTACTCCAACCTTCTTTGCACTTAACTTTCTTGAACACACTGACACTTTCTACATTTTTCTTTTACATTTCTCCTTGAGGTTATTTATTCAATAAATGGGTATAATCTTTGCCCTTAGGCGCTCATGTTAACCGGTCGCTTTAGCTGCAGGTCTTAAAATTGACATTTTATCTAAAGTCAGTGCAGGACACTTTTTTATCTGAATGCAGTGAAGATTACAGAGGTAAGAACTACAGTAAAGACGTACAAGAAGAAAATATGCATGTTTATTTAAAACAAAGTATCTAGATTTACTGTCCTCAAAAACAAGATTTAACCTGGGTGAGAAAATAAGCAGTTTAGTTGGAATGAGGCGGATTAACTCATTGTGGGTAGGTTTCTGAGGTCTAAATGAACTGCATTATTTTTCTTCTTCAAAACTCATAAAAAGCAGATACTTTGTTGATTAATAACACTGAGATTTCCCATTCTTTATTTTTTAAAAGTTTAAGCCAACATAGTAAAATAAGTTACACATCTGGCCATTGATTTATACATTTCCTTTCTATGGTTTGTAATGAACCAAGGGGGTTTCCTGAAATGTTAAAAATAAAACTTCTCATCTCTCACCTTTTTTTAATAATTTCCACAGGAAACAACATCTAAAAATGTGCCCCTCTAAATCATATTTGTTTAAAAGATTAACACAACTGGTATTGCACAATAACCTGTAAAAAAAAAAAGAAAAAAAAAAGTTCTTAACTCATGAATTTTAGAGACAATTTCTGATTTCTTTAAGACCTTATATTTTAATTAAACATCCTTGTATTTTGTTAGACAGAAACGTGACAATCATAATGACCCTTGTCTGGACTTGATTTGTGTCGCTATTCTGTTGCGTTGGGAGTGAAGCTTCTTTTCTGCAGGAGGAGGTGATGTTAAGGCTAGACCATCCCTGGTCTGACTGAATCCTGAGGAGCATCCTGCTTCGTGTGCAGGTCCTGACTGGGGCCACTCTGAGGACCCATTGAGTTCTGGGGGTCACTGGGTGCACCCTGACTGTATCCGTCACCTGGATGTGCAGTATGGACCCCAGGATGCGGGACTCCAGGTGGTGGAACACCAGGAGGCAGGTCCATAGGTGGCCTCATGTGCTCTCTTGGTCCTGGAAAACGCATGTCAGGTGGGAGAGGTGGTCTGGGTCCCAAAGGTCCACGGAGACCTAAGTAGAGTTAATATGGGGGGAAGACATAGTGTGAAACACAGCTGAGAAATTAGAGGAACGAATATCTGAATAAAAATAACTACTTCTTCAAACTTCTGAAACAGAATCCTTGCCTATTGGAGTTTTATCACATTCCGAAAAAAAAATTCCCTTTTAAAAGTACTTTAACTCTTTATCAGTTATATTTATACAGTTCTACAAATAAAAGCTTAAAAGAAAGTTGGATGCTCATTTCTATCAAAGGATGTTTCAAAATATTTACTGGAAGACATCTAGAGGAGTTTTACTCCTTGTCAGCCTAGTTAGACTTGATGGATGGAGT